AAAAATATCGTTGAATTATGATTTTTAAAGTAATTGTTACGTGCATCCTTATAAACATTTTGCATATTTGGAATGTCAATGCTCACGGCAAACTTATGGACCCAGTGGGTAGATCATCTGCTTGGAGAAAAGGGTTCAACGTTACGAAAAATTTCAGTGACAACGAACTTTTCTGTGGTGGCTTTGCGGTAAGCTTTTTTTTTTTTACTTATGATAAATCGATTTCGTTCTTGGCACTTAATACAAATAAATGAAAACGTATCCAAAACTATATATCACAGTTTCATTGAATAATAAAGTGCTTAATATTTTTCCTCAGCTAAATAAAAAATATAACCTATTATATTCTTCTGGATGTCTTATCTATTATGGATATAAGCAAATCCACAAAAAATATACCATTTTTCTCACCCATTACGACAATAAAACTGTTTTTTTAAGATTAACGCTTGAAACAGGGCTCATTTTACTTGTAGTGCTGTGTACTATGAGGAAATAGTTTTGAAAACGGATTTCAACAGACTCCCTTTTTCAGCGATTCACGTGCTAAAATTACATCTACAGATATCGTAAACGTGTGTCGTTTTAACACGTAAATCGTGGAAAAAGAGTGTCGCTCCCACGAAAATTCGTGTCCCAAATTTTTTTCCTTATAGGACATCGAATAAAATAGGCCCGGATTCAAGGGTGTGCCTTAAAAAATTTTTTTTCATTAAAATGGGGGATAAAAATGGAATACTTTTTTTAGATTTGCTTATGTACATTATTTTTATACTCTTTGAATCATTCATTTTATGAAACTTTTGACAATTATTGTTACTAATAGCAGAAGTTAATGGTAGTTCTGTTAACGAAATTTAAGTTAATGGAATAAACAGAATTAATATTGTTTTATATTTTATTAACGAATATTATAGGTCCAGTATGAAAAAAATAAGGGGAACTGCGGACCATGTGGTGACGATTGGTCCAAACCTCGACCAAGAGATAATGAAAATGGTGGCACCTACGGCCAAGGAGTGATCGTTAGTCGGTAAGTTCAAGTTACTAAGAAAATAGTTAAAATGATAAAAATCTGCAACTCTGCAATTTTTAAGTTAATAATTTTAAGCTAAAAATGGATAAATAAAAACAATTTAGCAAATAAACAGTCCAATTTTTGACCCCTAAAAATTAAGCTATGTTTTATTGTTAATGATATTACTTTTTTTTTATTTTAGACACATAAAATATTCCTTAACGCTAAGTACATTTAGCATAATATCACTTAATTGTAAATAAACATCTGATACAAAACTTTATCTACCTTTATGAGTTTGTTCATGAAAATCAACTTTTTATGAAAAAACACTATACTCTGATGTTGCTCAAGCTTATGCAAGAAAACATGATCAGCCTATAATCGATATTAATAATATAAACTTACAGACATAAGTACAGAAGATTAATAATTATCTAATAAATAAGTGATTGATAAAAATTACGGATACAGTTATAAAGAAACACCACAACCAATACCCTTGATGAATAAACGTTACTAACAGGAAAAAAAATTGATTGTAAAAAATAGGCTTTATCACATACAAGACGTTTTCAACCTAAATTTTTATAACATAATCTAAATAAATTATTAGTACTTGATTGATGCATCAATAATTATTTTTTGATAATAAAATAAAAGAATATAACTTGATTTCATGCTACTACGTACATATTGTTACATAGTGTACAAATTATCGTACAACCTTATACTTAGACTTTGCTGTTGGTGTACATTGGTAAAAAGAAAAAAATATTTCAAATTTCTTTACAAAAAATAATATTTGTATAAACCAAAATTTCACCTGAACAAATCTCAATTAAATTGATGTTTACTTAAATATATAAGATCGCAATATGCCAAGGTGATTCCTTCTATTGACCTTGTGGTCATAAACTTCTCAAACCAATGTCGATACATGTGTCAGTCACTGTGCACTGTCGATTTTTAAGATTATACAAATAATGGAAACTGTTAAAAGTTTTTTAACAATAACTAAGATTATAATCTCGGCACATTAATTTTTTTTTCAACCAATGCAGTATACTATAAACTACATTTCTGTGGATCATGTTAACTAACCACTGTTAGGCTATTTTATTTATTGTGAATTAAACATACAATTTGGAGATATTTTTTTACTTTGAAAAAATATTAGTCTTGAACTTTAATTC